CTTAAGCATTACAGTAATCTACTCTAGACAATTCTCAAGCCTTTGCTTCAGCTGTTACCTATGGACATTTCAAAAAGTGCTTGAGAAAAAACCAGAACTCTTGACATAGTAGATTTCTAGTAATTGGGCTGAACCAGTCCTCTGACAATTACTCCTTCAGTTGTCTTTGTTTTTGTTTTTTTGCTAGTCCCCCAATACCCTCTGTTAAAAGAAGTATAATACACTGCCTTAAAGAAAAGCTGCAGGTTTCATCTTAGTGCCTTCACCAGAAATGTTCTGGTCTAAGGAAGCCACTTCCCATCTGTCCACAGGAAAAGTTCTGGGTACCTTACCCAGAACTGGTTCTCAGACAGATGTCCTCCAAGATAAATTAAGATCTTAACTGATATTAACCAATCAACAAATGTTTATCAATTACTGCTCATAGGAACTGAGATAGCCCACTAAAGAAAACAGAGTATAAGAAGATCGAGTCCTCCACAGCTTTACCCTCTAGATACCTATAGTATATGTATTCACAGGACAAGCTAATACAGAACAGCAGATTGTTGGTGCTAAATGAATGCGCTGGGTAGGAACTATCAGAATGAATGTCTGAATGTCTTACTCCTGACTACAGAGATGAGAAATTTTGGTCATCCTCTCAGAGCAGGAGTGAGATATGCAGTGAAAAGTAGGGGAGGGAAATCAAAGGGGCCAGAGAGATGTATTTGAAAGCAAAGCGAAATCTGCAATAAATATTGGGTTGGCCCAAAATTTCATTTGGGTTTTCCCATAAGATGCTATGGAAAAGCGTGAACTATCAGTTTGACCAACCCAATATAAATATATTTTTGTGTATGGTGTAAAGGTGACAAATTTCAAGTATAAATATTAATCTTGACTTCACACATTTTGACAGTATTCATTCAAAATGCTGAAGCACACTCAGGTAATCCATGGCTGATTGTTTGGTTACATGAAGAACCATGGGAAACACAGCCATGACTGACCCTAGTAGGATCACCATCGACATGAAGACTGTACCTCCAGGTTAATTGCCTCCAATAATCTGTCCCAGCCAAATCAATTGTAAATTGCCATTATTTGAAATGAGAGAGTTGTACTGACTGATGCTTCTGATTAATAGATCTGGGAGGTCTGGAAATATTTTCATTTGAGAAATGTGGTCAATTTTTCTACACCTTCAGTTCAGTTCAGTTCAGTCGCCCAGTCATGTCTGACTTTGCGATCCCATTAACTGCAGCACACCAGGCCTCCCTGTCCATCACCAACTCCCAGGGTTTACCCAAACCCATGTCCATTTAGTTGGTGATGAGTCAGCTCTTCGCATCAGGTGGCCAAAGTATTGGCGTTTCAGCTTCAACATCAGTCCTTCCAATGAACACCCAGGACTGATCTCCTTTAGGATGGACTGGTTGGATCTCCTGCAGTCCAAGGGACTCTCAAGAGTCTTCAACACCACAGTTCAAAAGCATCAATTCTTCGGCACTCAGCCCTCTTTATAGTCCAACTCTCACATCCATACATGACCACTGGAAAAACCATAGCCTTGGCTAGATGAACCTTTGTTGGCAAAGTAATGTCTCTTTTTAATATGCTGTCTAGGTTAGTCATAACTCTCCTTCCAAGGAGTAAGCGTCTTTTAATTTCATGGCTGCAATCACCATCTGCAGTGACCTTAGAGCCCTAAAAAAACAAAGTCAGCCACTGTTTCCACTGTTTCTCCATCTATTTGCCATGAAGTGATGGGACTGGATGCCATGATCTGAATGTTGAGCTTTAAGCCAACTTTTTCACTCTCCTCTTTCACTTTCATCAAAAGGCTCTTCAGTTCTTCTTCACTTTCGCTTCAGGTAATTAGGGTCATCTAATCCAGATGGTGTTGATAGATAAAAAGTTACAGAAAGTACAGAAGGCATTTGTTGTTATTGCAGGTGTTCAGTCACTAAGTCCTGTCTGACTCTTGGTGACAGAAGGCATATTGTTGCTATTTTGGGGCTACCAGTGTCCTGAGGTGTGTTTTTTTGGTATTCTAAGCTCAGGATGTCGGGGGTAATTTAATGAATGTGTGAATACATGCTGAGGTTTAAGGAAAAAAAAGATGTGCAAAGGGAGTAGCTGAATAAATCCATGACTTTCTGAAAGGGACAACAGTCGATTTTGTCTGACCAGCATCTTTTTCCCCTTCCATTAATGATTGAAGGCAGTAACACTTAACTCTTCATCTGTATTATCACCTTGTGCTCATCCCACATAGTACTGTGCAGTTATCAATCAAATAGCTTGCTCCCTCTCCCCGAGGTAAACTCTAGAAGAAATCTGAATTTTGCTAGGAGGGACAAAGACTAAAATGACTGGAGTTGCTCAATCCAATGTCAGTGTCCTAGAAAAGACTCTACTTGAAGTCTCTGAATGCTGTCCTGATGGACTTTCCTTTCCTGAGGTATGAGTAGCAAAATCTTTCTGCATACTAAAAACTATTTAATTTTTTTTTTTTTTTAAAGCTAGAGCTGATTTTTGTGACTTACAACCAAAGGGAATTAGTGCATTCACTTTACCTCCGTTACAACTTCCAAGCATATCAAGTAAAAATTATTTTTGCTTTTAAGCCAGGGATGAACTAGACATGTTTGGAGGCAGGAGAAAAAGGTGTTGAAGAAAAGGACAGCAGGGCTGACTTCTGGGCATGTGACCTGTGTTCTGCTGTTATTGTCTTGAAATTCTTACTATTTTTTTTGAAACAGGACCTTGCATTTTCATTTTGCATTGCTGCTGCTGCTAAGCCGCCTCAGTTGTGTCCGACTCTGTGCGACCCCACAGACAGCAGACCACCAGGCTCCGCCATCCCTGGGATTCTCCAGGCAAGAACACTGGAGTTGGTTGTCATTTCCTTCTCCAATGCATGAAAGTGAAAAGTGAAAGTGAAGTCGCTCAGTCGTGTCCGACTCTTAGCGACCCCATGGACTGTAGCCCACCAGGCCCCTCCGTCCATGGGATTTTCCAGGCAAGAATACTGGAGTGGCTTGCCATTGCCTTCTCCATCATTTTGCACTAGGCCCAGCCAATTATGAAAGTGCTTCATTTGATATAAAGCACTATGTGAAGGCTGATTAATGCCCCCCCAAAGATGCTCACACCCTAATCTCCAGGTCCTGTTAAGTATGTTATCCTATGCGGCAAAAAGGACTTTGCAAATGTGATTATGTTAAGGATTTTGAGTTTTGATTATTTTGGACTATCTGGTGGGCCCAAAGTAATTGCAAGGGTCCTTTACAAGACAGAGGCACAGAATTAGGGTTAGAGAGAGAAAGCATGTGACAACAGAAACAGAGGGAGTGAAATCTGACTGCGCGATGCATGGTTATGAGCTGAGGAATGTAGGTGGCCTCTTTGGTGTTGCTCAGTCACTCAGTCATGTCCGGTTCCTTGAGACCTGTGGGCTTCAGCATGCCAGGCTTCCCTGTCCTTCACTGTTTCCCGGAGTTTGCTCACTCATGTCCATTGAGTCAATGATACCAGCCAACCATCTAATCCACTGTCATCCCCTTCTCCTCCTGCCCTCAATCTTTCCCAGCATCAGGGTCTTTTCCAATGAGTCAGCTCTTTGCATCAGGTGGCCAAAGTATTGGAGTTTCAGCTTCAACATCAGTCCTTCCAATGAAAAGGCAAGGTAACATATTTTCCCCTAGAGAAAGCCTCTAGAAATAATGTAGCCCTGCTCATCTTAATTGAACTACTGATCTCCAGAACTGTAAGATGATAAATTTGTTCTAAGTCACTAAATCTGTGGTAATTTGTTATAAAAGTGACGGAAACCTACACACTACAAGGTTACTACAAGGTCACCTTAAGGTGATGCCTTACTAGTTTACCAGAAATCAAGACTATTAATAAAACTAATAGCAGCTATTTATTGAACATTTCTTTTGTCCTAGGACCATACTAAGCCCTTTATGTATGAAATCTTATGCAGTCCTAGAACAATGTTTGAAGTGGGTATGCGTGTATTTAGAGACAGACAAACGGAGGTTCAGAGAGGTTAAGCAACTTGTCTAAAGTCACATAACCAGCTAGAATGTTTAGAGGTGGGAGCTGAACCCAGTTATCACTCCCAAATTTTCTGTTCAACCCCATTGCCAGATTTTATATAAACGTGGGTTTGTTCCCATCCTTTAACGTGCATTATGTTTGTATGTGTCAACACAGGAGTCGGAGCTTGGCCAGCCAGAGGACGACATCCACATCTGGGGGGTGTAAGATGGAGGAGGCCAAGCCAACTCCACAAGTCTCAGGGGGCTCATCTAGGCACCGGCGATAGATCGAAGGCTACAGAAAAGTGGATGAGCCAAAGAAAGCGCCAGACACTGAACGTCGAAGAGCCCTTGTTTCTCGTTTGCCTGGATCCTGGGCGAATCCTGTAGCCTCGGGGCGGTGCGGGTGTCAGCGGACAACGACAGAGGGAGGGGCCCCCGCCGGGTATCCAGTAGCAACTGCCAGGCGAGGGGGCGCGGGCGGAGTTCCGCGGGAATAGTGGGCGCTCCTCTCCACCCGTCCGCACCGCCTCTTGTTTTGAAGGCTCGCGTGGTCCCGCGTCATTGGCCGCCGTGGAGCCCAGGCTTCGGGGAGGCGGAGCGGTTCCGCAGCTGTAGCTCTCCAATTACTCCCTCCGCCGGCCCCGCCTTCCGACTGCCGGCGCCCACCGGCCGCACTGGACCACAATTCCCACAAGGCCTCGCGCCCAGAGTGGGCGTGGCCGGGCGCAGGGGAAGCCGGGGGCGGGGCCGCTTGGGGGATGAAGTGGGGGCGCTCGGCTCTTCAACCTCACTCACAGCTGCGGGCGCCGGGGAGAGCGTCCTCCGCCTCTGGACCGGCGTGCTGACCTCTGACCCTGGAGTCTCTCGACCGCCGGGAACCGTCCCCTTGGGTCGTCGCCCCGGCCGCCCGCCGTTTCCCGGCCCCGAGGGGCCCGGCCGGCCGCGGCGGGGGGAGAGGTCAGCATGAGCCCGGGGGTCCCGCGGGCCGGCGCAGGGCAGGGGGCGGCGGCCGCGGTGCAGCTTCTCGTCACTCTGAGCTTCCTCCCGAGCGTCGTCGAGGCCCAGGTGAGCCGGAGTGATGGCGGCGCGGGGACCCCCGGCCGAACGCCGGCGGTGGAGGCGGCGACCGGGCCGCGATTGAGGCTCAGGCGGGCCGGGGCGGGAGCCCCGAGAGGTTTCTGTCGAGCGGAAAAGCCGGGGGTCTGAAGCCCCGATCATCGAGCCCAGGAAACGCCTGCGAGCCGCTGGCGCTGTGAGGGGTGGCTACACGGGGTGTTGGCAGGAAAAAGAGGAAGATGGTGACGGTCCCCTGAGGCGTTTTCGTTTTTATCTTTCTGATGTTTCAGCGGCTCCGAGTGTGGCGGGAGATGGGACGGGGATGAAAATCTCTGCGGCTGTTCTGGGACGAGAGCACGCAGAGAAATGGGGAAGCCCTCCTCGCGGGGAACTCGGGATGGGGGGCAGGTGGGGAGTAGGTGACAGACCCAGCGGCCCTGCAGAAGCCAAGTGGATCGCGAGGGGTACAGGTCTGAACTTCCTTGCCTTTTGGACTAGGGAGTCCCTCGCCTCTCCTCTTCCTCAGGACCGTTGTATTTTTACCCAGCCTGTACTCCGTCTGCTGAGTGGCATCGCCAGGTGAGCTCAGGTACGAGAGGGGGGCTCGTGTCTGACCTTGTGGCTCCCTCAGCAGTGAGTGATGGCCGATAAATTAGAGTCTGGGGGTTCTTTGTGAGGCGTACCTTACAGAAGGGTTCTCAATATGCTAGAAACCAGAGTTAGCTTCCCAGGGTCTTTTGCCTTAATAAAAGCTTATTTTTTAATACAGTAGAATTTGAATAAGCTTCTGCCAGGTGCTGTCTAGCCTGCACCTGCTGCAGAGTGGCAGAACTGCTAAGAGCTAAAAAAAAAAAAACAAAACAAGAAAAGGTATCTCAGGTGGTCGGATGATGACTGGAGACATGGTTTGAAGCAGTTAGTGCTGATGGTTAAGTCAAATTGAAGGTAACTATGACGGTAACAGAGCAAACATGTTGTTCTGACTATATTCAGACACTTTTTTTTCATGACCCTATGGTGTTCTGAACCTCAGAATACCTGAATACTCAGTTTCTGTCCCTGTGTGAATATTTTCTAAGTGAATAATAAAAATAAAAGGGGCAGACTTTTAGTTTGAGAGGGCGCGATGTTAAAAATGCAGATTCTCTGGGCCCACTACCAACTGTTCTGATTTAGTGGATCTGGATGTGATCCAGGAATCAGCATTTTAAACCAGGCCTGCAAGTAACTAATGTAGTTATCCTTTTAGCTATCTTACAACACCACTTGGAAACACTTGAAATAGATAATGGCAATCTACCAGACTTACAAAAAGTATATTTTCTAAATTATCTTTGATAAAATTATTTTCTAGTTATTACTGGGCTATTTCTTTTTGAATAGAATTTACATTTAGATTTTTTTCTAAAAATTATTTTTTCTAAAAATTATTTTTTCTCATTTTCTTTTTAGATAGTATATTTTAATTGTATACTCTCTCACCAATTTAGAAGCTTTATTTTAGGTTCCTATCACAAATTATGTGTATTAATGTTTTATAATTGCATGTGTACTTTAAATGTTATTATATCCAAATGAATATATATGATTTAAATTTCATTATGTCCAAATGAATGTATGTTCAACAGTTAAGGATTTCTACACAAGGTAGGATGTGCCAAAGAGGCCTCAAAATTGAATACATATGGTTTTTGTTTCCAGTGGTACTTTCTCATATATTGTTCAATCATATTTTATACTTTAATCTGTAACATGTTTAAAAATACATTGTCTCATTTCATTTGACACATCTTTCCCACAGTGAGGTAACTGACATTCAAAGAGCTTACATGATTAATATCGCACATGTTAAGTAAGTGAAGGAGAGTATCTTTCCGGTCTATACCGTTGCATCTCAGTATGCTTGCTTCTTTGTGGTATAGAAATAAAGTAGAGGGAGACCCAGGAAAATAAAAAGGTAGAACTAAGCCAGTTCTTTCTCTTCTCCTTCATTCACTAACTTGGAAGAAAACCAGTAAAAAATAAAGGAAAAAATTAATTTTTTGAAGAATACTTCTGTTCACAGGTAGGCATTTGTACAACATATACCCCAAGTTCTTGTAAATGAAATGCAAGTGTGCTTTGTACTGTATTTGAATGAACTTTTTGGCCAACCTTGAGTATGATAAAACACTAGAAACTTAAATTGTAGTGCATACAAATGATGTAACAAGTTAATCTTCCCATAAAGAAGTAACTTCAGATACATTTTAAATGTTTTCTAAATGCATTTCTGAGCTGGCATGGAATCAAGGAATATATGAAGCCTCCCCCAACCCCCAAAATGGAAAGCCAGAACTTTAAGACTCAGTGCTGCTTCAGTGCCATTACCCTGACGACTTCCCCTGAACTCTGAAGACCTTGAGCTTCTACTCTGACAAACTGCATGGAGTGGCATAAACAAGAAATAAAACCCACATCTGCCCAAACAGAGGGAAGTAAAAGGGGCCCTCACCGTAAGCTTGGGCTCCAAAGAGCTAAATCTTAAATATAAGGAGAAATGAAATCCACCACAAGTAAGGGGAAAATGAACAGACTTGTTAGGGGAAGGGGTGAGGGGGAAGCTGCCTTGAGAATTTGTAACCATGAGCTGTCCTTAATACAGGTCAAATTCATTCTACCTGTGCTGGGAAAATCTTCAAGTGAAAAATTTAATTTATAGCAATCTCAGGTTGGTGTGCCTGGAAAATCCCATGGACGGAGGAGCCTGGTAGACTGCAGTCTGTGGGGTTGCTAAGAGTCGGACACGACTGAGTGCCTTCACTTTCACTTTGCACTTTCATGCATTGGAGAAGGAAATGGCAACCCACTCCAGTGTTCTTGCCTGAAGAATCCCAGAGATAGAGGAGCCTGGTGGGGTCTGTGGGGTCGCACAGAGTCAGACACGACTGAAGCGTAAGACTTAGCAGCCCCAGCAGCAGGTTGGTGTGCTCTGAAGTTACAGGTAACAACAAATATCCATCCTCTCTGGAGGGCTTCCCTGGTGGCTCAGTGGTAAAGAATCCGCCTGCCAATACAGGAGATGTAGGAGACATGGGTTCATCCCTGGGACAGGAAGATCCTCTGGAGAAGGAAATGGCCACACTCCAGCATTCTGATCTGGGAAATTCCATGACCGAGGAACCTGGCGGTCTACAGTCGATGGGGTTGCAAAAGAGTCAGACATGACTTAGTGATTAAACTATCACCATCTCCTCTGGAGAAATTCATTGTCTACCCAAGCCTTAAAGAATTTTGGAAGATAGAGTGTCAAGAAAAATAAGCTAATAGTAAAAAATCACAGAATACACAAAGGCAACATGAATGAGATATTTAGAAATATAGATTATAGAAATAGGTCTATAATAAGTATAGATTTTTTTCAAATAATCAGGTATTATTTAAAATCACCATGTTTAAATGGGGCTTCCCTGGTGGCCCAGACAGTAAAGAATCTGCCTGCAGTGAGGGAGACCTGGGTTCAATCCCTAGGTCATGAAGATCCCCTGGAGAAGGGAACAGTTATCCACTCAAGTATTTTTTCCTAGAGAATTCCATGGACAGAGGAGTCTGGTGGGCTATAGTCCAGTTCAGTCACTCAGTTGTGTCTGACTCTTTGCCACCCCATGGACTGCAGCACACCAGGCTTCCCTGTCCATCACCAACTTCCAAAGTGTGCTTAAACTCTAATCAGTGATGCCATCCAACCTTCTCATCTTCTGTCGTCCCCTTCTCCTATTGCCTTCGATCTTTCCCAGCATCAGGGCCTTTTCCAATGAGTCAGTTCTTTGCATCAGGTAGCCAAAGTATTGGAGTTTCAGCTTTAGCATCAGTTCTTCCAATGAACATTCAGGACCGATTTCCTTTAAGATTGACTGGCTGGATCTCCTTGCAGCCCAAGGGACTCTCAAGAGTCTTCTCCAACACCACAATTGAAAAGCGTCAATTCTTCATCACTCAGCTTTCTTCATGGTCCAACTGTCACATCCATACATGACTACTGGAAAAACCATAGCTTTGACTAGATTTACTTTTGTCAGCAAAGTAATGTGTCGCTTTTTAATATGCTATCTATGTTGGTCATAGCTTTTCTTCCAAGGAGCAAGCGTTTTTTAATTTCATGGCTGCAGTCACCATCTGCAGTGATTTTGGAGCTCAGAAAAATAAAGTCTGTCCCTGTTTGCATTGTTTGCCCATCTATTTGCCATGAAGTGATGGGACCGGATGCCATGATCTTAGTTTTCTGAATGTTGAGTTTTAAGCCAACTTTTTCACTCTCCTCTTTCACTTTCATCAAGAGGCTCTTTAGTTCTTCTTTACTTTGTGCCATAAAGGTGGTGTCATCTGCATATCTGAAGTTATTGATATTTCTCCCGGCAGTTGTAATTCCAGCTTGTGCTTCAGCCAGCTCAGCATTCCATGGGGTCACAAAGAATCAGACAGGAGTGAGCAACTAACACTTTCACATGTTTAAATATAAAGACTTAAAAGTATGAAAAAGAACAAGAAATTTTAAAGAATGACCCCAAAGTTTACAACATAATGAAATAGAAGTTTTAGAAATCAAATTAACAACTCGATGGATGAAGTAGTTGATTATGTCAGCAGAAAAAAATGATTATTGAATTGAAAAACCATTTTATGTCCTTTTTTTCCTACTTAATCTCCCAATACCTCCTTTTCCATCCTAACTCTTAGCTTCATACTTTACTAAATTGGAATAATCAGAATAATCCACATCTGTCCACCTACTAGACCCACATATTTTGACTTCTGTAGATTATCATAGATAAACTGTTTGTACTCTTATCAGAGACCAATCCCTCCACTTGGATTTTGGTCCCATTCCTTCTTTCCAATTCAAGGACATGGCTCCAGAAAATTTTCCCTTTCTCTTCTGGTTCATTGATTTTTTTTTTTTTTTTACCTTTTCTAATGGACTGTTGTTGCTAAGTCGTGTCTGACTCTCTTTGTGATCCCGTGGGCTATAG